ACTTAAATTGTCGTAAAAGGACGATATCATGAAATAATTCAAACATAATGTTTGATTCTTTAATTATAAATCAAGTTTTCAAAAATTTTCGGCGCTTATCTGATATGCAAAAGAAAATATTTCATCCTATACACGATATTTTTATAATTTTATTACATGTTTTACAAAGGTGGATGATGATATAGATATACACCGTGTTACTAAAGCAAATTGTTTTTCAATGCCTCAACATGCATCATCAATAAAACGTTTAATAAATATTATGCAATAATTAAACTTACACTTTCACTAATTTGACTTTATAACTTGACAAAATATTTCATTTTACACTTGATACTTTAGAGTTTTATCTTACATGACCTTTACAGGTGCAGATCAATTTCTATATCTATTTATGTTAAAACCATTATTTTGCATATATTAGCATCTGAACTAATACAGTTTTCTACAACTAAACATGATAAACGAATGACTTACTGTTTATCCATCCATTTTCTATAGAACATGAAAATTGCGTAAAACTTTGAGACTGTCACACCTCCAAACATCTTTGGGTACACAAATATTGTGAAAGTATGGAATACATTTCTAAAGAATTGATAGCTTCTTTCAGACAATGTTCTGTAGGATACTCACTATTTCACTTTCACAAGTAAAACATGCATATTATTTGAATGAGACAGTTATTATAACCAATAATGTACTTTTATTGTCCTACAACTAAATAAAATAAATGAACGACTTACTGTTTAACTTTGTTATTGTTTAAAGTACCAAACTGCATAGAACTTTGAGACTGACTTAGACTAGGAAACCACATGCTGACTTTTAAGAATTGCAAAGGTCATCATGTAGTCACACACATACTGACAGTGATTCTACAGTACACAAAACCAATACATTAGGAATTAACCTTTTGCTAAGCAAAGAGGGGGTGATTCAGCTTGATAACAGTCCAATGTGTTTGACATTGAAGGACACTGCCAAGTTTGGTTTCAGAAAATATAGAGGGCAGCATGTCAAGTTTGAAAACCGTTTTGACTCTTATTGTTAGCTAATACAGGTAACACTTTCATTTGAATATAAAGAAAACATTTATTAAAATAAATGTCATTTATATTACACTGTTGCTATTTATGTATTTACATTATATTTAATATTGAAAATAAACTCTACATTATTTTATTATTCACCATACTTTAACTAGAACTTTTGCATATCACTGAAAGTTCAAAGTCAGTAAACGTGCCCAACAAGTGGTCAGACTGTATCGGTCGGCTTATAATACTTTTTCAAAATTTATTCAACTCCAATCTATAATATTTACATA